TATGTACCACATCTTTCTAATCCAGTCATCTACTTTTGGGCATTTGGGCTGCTTCCATGTTTTTCCAATTGTAAATAAAGCAGCAATAAACATGCGGGTACAAGTATGAAAGAAGATTTTTTAACGAGAAAGGGTGGAAACAAGTTAATGAAATTTCAAGTTTAGTAAAAGGGTGTATAAGTTTGGGGTTTGCACAAGATGAAGAAAACGGTGAGGTATTGTACAGAATGAATCAAGGGCACTTAGATTGACACCTAGAATCTCTACCTACCATTTCAAATTATAATTGCATAATTCGGCTCAGAGGAATTTTTTAAGATCAATGCACATGTTGTTGCACTAGTTCTTATGAGTACATTCCTAAGAAAAATTGCTAGAATATTTGCCGGTCACTTGGACTTGGGTTTTAGGACTTGGCAGTATGTCCTTGAACAGGACCTTAAGAAGGTTTTCAGAACTGAGCTGAGGACACTTGCTGTGGTTAGGGATGCTGAGGACACCTGTGGGACAGAGGCTTTGCTGGCACCTCAGGCTACAGGGAGGAAAGACTCCTAGCTGCGCTCCTTTGCATGGGGACGCTAGTGCACTAGCTGTTCCTGCATCTCTGAGGCTGCCTTTGCTCTGTTCTGAGCCATGTGGCAAAGGGCCCTCACTAAAAGCCTGCATCTCTCTTCATCCCCCGTAGCTCCTTCTGAACATGTGCTAACACGCCACGTATGAGTACTTCCCCCAATAATGCAGATTCCTGCCCTCCCTCCCCTCGCTGCCACCTCACCAGACTTAACTATTTTCAGTAGTTTAGTCAACAGATACTTAGGAAGCATCCCCCAGTGTGCCAGACGGACAACTTGAGAGAGATGTGTGAGTATGAAACTTCTAATGGGAGCTGGGAGATAAAGAAGAGGAGGTGTGAGGAGAGACAAAAGTACTCCTCTCCAGAGGGTGTCTCCAAAAATCTTAGAAGGAAAAAGTGAGTGAAGAAATGAGTGAGTTAGAACTCACCCCTCCCTTTCATCTGCCCCACCCCCATCTACACCTGAGTGAGAGCACAGGCATCCAGGCAAGTGTGAAAGAAGCAAACAAAGACCATAAAGGAACATTGTGAAGCTGCTCTCTGGAGGCCAAGCAGGGCAGAATCATTTCTCACAGAGAGCAGCACGCCCTCACTATCTAGTTAGCAGATGGACCACCCAGAAAATCTGGGAGCAATTAGGAGGAGGAAAACATATTGGGGAGAGTTGCTGAACTGTTGAGATGCATGGAGTTCCCAAACTACCCTCTGTCAGGAACACAGAGGTGATGCATGTCACCAGTAGTAGAGGAGAAGGAAGCTGAAGCCCAGCTATGGTGCGCGGGCGCGCACACACACACACACACACACACACACCCCCCACACAGTGGCATGGCAGCGACTGAGCTGTGCCCTCTACAAGGCGACCAGAAGTGGGTTTTAAAATGTAGATGGCAGGAAACCACATTTAAAGCCTGATCATCTCCTGATGTCCATTAGGCCACTTTAAAAGCAAAGCAATTTTTTTTTTAAAGATTTATTTATTTGTACATACAGAACTGGGGTACAGGCCAGAGGCTCAGGGGCGGTGAGAGGATTCACCAGAGACAGAGTGGGGAGCAGAACAGGCAGATCGACGAAGCACACTGCTGAGGGGAGCAGCGGGCGGGCCAGGAGAGGTCTGCCACGCCATGTGGTCTCCTCCAGGGCAGGCGGGATTTGAACTCATGCGGAAGTGGCTTTAGCTTCTCAGTGCTGTGCTTTAACCCGCTGCGCCACCAGGGAGGGCCGCAAAGCAAATTTTTAATACTGTTTGGTGAGCACCAAGCCTGGATGGGCTCACCACCCTTTTGAAGGCTGGTAACCTTCAACTTCCTTCAACATCCTGACTCTCCCGCTGAAAACCAGGGGCCGACATTCTGTGCTCCTGCCATGGGCCAGGCAAAGTGATGTGCTGCATGTATTCTTTCATAAACCCTGCACCCTTCAAAAAGATGAGTCTGGTATAACAGATGAAAAGACAATCTCATTCTAGGAAATATCTTGCCCAAGGCCCCATAGCTAATCAGTGGTTAAGACAGAATACAAATGCAGTCTCCAGATCTTTGAGAAATATTCCCACCAGGCCTTCCAAACTGAGTAGGTTTTCTCCTTGCACACAGTCTGACTCGTGCCTTCACATATTTTCCCTGCTAGAAATACATTCTCACCATTTCTGTCAAGTTCTTCACATCCCCCAAACCCTGTCTGGCGATTTTTTTTTCTTTTCATGTCTCAAAAGATGTTATAGCGCCATGAAAATCTAGTAGGTGCTAGGCACTGTGCCTCAGAATCTACTGGGCCTTTGATAGTCCTGTGCCCATCTTAGCCATGTACTGTCCAGTATGGTGGCTGTATAGAGATGGGCTTTCACTCCAGGCCTCTTTAAATCTACCAAAGAGGGATATTTATCTTGTTGACTGTTTTTTTTTTTTTCCCCTATGGTAATCAGCACAGCAGTCATACAAGGAATGGTAACTGATTTGCATACTAAATGCTAACACATAATCAACACAATACCCACAACTTCAACAATATACTCTATAACCCTATTTCCTAATATCTATACTTATTTGAAATTATGCTCACAGTACTTCTGAAATGTTTGGATTCCTTAAAAAGTTGCTTTGTCGGCCCTCCCTGGTAGCACAGTGGGTTAAAGCACTACACTGAGAATCTAAAAGCCGCTTCCGCATGAGTTCGATTCCCACCTGCCCCAGAGGTGACCACATGGCGTGGCAGACCTCTCCTGACCCGCCCGCTGCTCCCCTCAGCAGTGTACTTCATCCATCTGCCTGTTCTGTTCCCCACTCTGTCTCTGGTGAAGCCTCTCACCGCCCCTGAGCCTCTGGCCTGTACCCCAGTTCTGTATGCACAAATAAATAAATCTTTTTTAAAAAAAAGTTGCTTTGTCTTCATTACTTTAAAAGATGTTATAGACTACAAACAAAATCCATAGTAGGCATGTCTAGAAGTTTTGAACTTCTGGATTTCTGTTTCATGAGCAAGTAGCTACATATTTCCTCCTATGACAGAAGGACTTAAGAGAGTGGAACTCATAATTTTCAGACATTCCATGTCTATACAGCAATGCCTCTTTATTACACTGTGAATCCAAAGACATTTCCTTTGGTAAAATGAACTCTAATAACATGTGAACATATGTTACTGAACAAAAGTGACTCAGATGCTCAAATGTTTAGTATGAGGGAGAGGGGACTGCTGTTCCATGGAAAGTGAAAAGGATGAGCTACACATTTATTTTTGTGAATGAGTCAGTGGCTCACATGGAATTGGGCTGTTGAAAAAGTCCTGACACATTTTTGCATAGAAAACATAGAAAAAATATGTTCTGACTTTTCTGACAACCCAATACTTCCTCACAGCAATAGAAAATAATAACTCACAAAAATCATAAAATCACAACCGTTATAATTGAAACAGACTATAACAAGACTGTTTTAGCTTGTAAACCCTCACTGCAGACACTTATCTTTTTGTACAGTAATTGGGCCTAATCTCAAAAGGTCTAACTTTTAAATACACTTTGGTAATACTGCTAAGTATGAGCTTATCTACCTAAAGCTAGTATTTCCAGTTTTTGCATGTGGGTAGTTCTGCCCACATCCAGACCCAACAGAGACTCCAGTTTTGTCTTCCCAATGACCCAGAAAGTTAGATTTTATGCTTTCAAAAGAGAGTGCAATTAAGATCTTACTTAGAGAATAAGTAACTGGAAACAACAACAACAACAACAACAAAATCCTGAGCATCCATGCTCACCAGGAAACTGAAAAGAAACACAGGGAAGCAGGCTGTGGGAATACTGGGCTGGAGTTGCCCACCTCTTTCCATTGCTCTCCCGAAGCATCGCCTTCCCCATCACTCTGGACTTAGTTTCCAGTTCTTGTACCTCCTCCAGTAACGTTTTTTTACAGGTATGCTTGGCCCTGTTTCACAAAAAGACAAACAGAACATGACAAAGAAACTTAACACAGTTGTAGTAAAGATCACGCTCCCCCCTTAAGCCACATCAGGCTGCTCTGACTGAAGTGAAGGCTGGAACATCACAGCTTATTCAGGACCCTATGTTGCAAGGGCTGCACCTTCTTAAGCTGGGGAGTTTCCCAAGCACAGCAGAACATGCTGAGATCAGGAACATCAAAAGTTTATGACCCACCTCTGCAGAAAACACTACGTGTTGCTCCAAGTCTGCAAATCTGTGAGGGGACCCGTCACTCAGGGCAAAATTGGGGGCTCATGGAGATTCATGGGTTGGTCTCCAGAGAGACCAACTCTTCACTGCAGCATGTGGAAAACTCAAGATCCTTTAATTCCTTGCTTCCTGGACCTACGCTGGTCTCTCCTTCCTTAGTGTAATCAGGGAGCCCAGGATCAGCAGTTTTCTCTCCTTATAGTGTGAAAAAAAAGCCACTGCCCAACAGGAGTGGGGTTTTTTTTTTTTTTCATAAAAGACTTTAATGTCTTTTTTTTTATTTTATTTT